TTCATTGACTTGTTACGTTAACTTTTACACATTTACGTTAAGATTTTAAATTTATGACTTACTGATGTGGAAAAAGTAAAAAGATAATTTATTCTTAATTAATTTTTAAAGTTGTTATTATATAATTTATTTTTTTATTAATTAAAAAAACCCTCCCAAAATGGGGAGCTTGATCGGTGCTCTTTTCTCCTTTGTTAAATTTTTTTAAAATATAATAATAATTTATTAAATTAATAAAAAAAGAAAAGATATTTAGTCTTTTTCCAATTTCTGTTAACAATGTTTGTATTTTTTGGACGAAGTATCTATTTTGAAAACTAATGAACCCACTTGAAATTTCAATTAAAATTTAAGGGAGTTGGGGTATTTTATCCTTTGAAAAGTATATATATTAAGTCAAATCAAATAACGAATCATCAAAAATATGAAAAATATTTCGTAAATATTATTTTAATAAATGTCATTAGTATGTTAAATCTTTAAGTATTTAAACCAAAATCGAGATATTAAAAACTTTATTGTAAATAAGAAAGAGGCATTTCAAAGACAAAAAAAAAAAGAAAGAAAAGAAGGAGTCTATACGTTCACTAAAAGTATCTATCTCAACATGTAGTCATTGCAATTGCAAGAATCTTCATAGCTGATTGTGAGGTTGAATTAAGGATCGGTAATAAGTATCTACAAATATTCGTTAAAATTACTTAAAATATTAATCATTTAATGCATTGGTTTTATCAGCTTCAAAAGCATGCATTGATTTTAATTTTTTTTTCAACTCATTAAAATTGATTAAATGAGTGTTTGACCATAATTTAATATAAATCATAAAAATTCATCTTACGTGAGTCATAAAGGCTCTATGAACAGACACAAAAGAGGACAAATCAAAAAGAAAGAGCTGTTACATAAACCATAATTTAACATAAAACATGAGCTTGACTATGATAATATACATTCTCACAAATCCTTGAAGTAAAGTTGTCTTCCAACTCAAACCAATTATTTTTAATTGAAAACAAGTCACATAAGAGTTCTAATTTAAAATAGAGTCAAAGATAGTGAAGAACCATCATAAAAAGGAAAGAAACTACACTATATCTAAGGTTTCGATTCCTCTCTTGAGGCATTCATACTTTTTCCATAAAAACCCAAACTCTTGTACTATTTCTACATCTTACAACATTGCTTAACTTTCTATACTTAGGAACAATCATGTAACCTAAGATTTCACTAGGACACAACCATATATCACCATGCATCATCTACTCAACACATAATTCAATAAATAACTTAAACTTAGTCTTTCTGCCAATCTAACATGTCTATTCAAAG